GGCAATAAAAACGTTTTATAGGAGTTTTGTGTACTTTTAATAGTGTATCTATTGATAGTAATGCCTCAGACTGACATGTGGTATAAAATCACATAGATATGACTCTTTCAGATCTGAAATTCAGGGGCTTGCTCAAGAAAAAAATCACTTCCCTGCTATAAAGTTAGCTATTAATTTAGTTGATTTCCACATTAAATGCTTCCCTTGCCTTACTTTGTGGTGGAGAAAGTAGGGTCTACCTGGCAGGAGCATGAAGAACTGCCAGGTAAGGATGGTTGGGCAGGGAGGAAAGATAACATCAGGGATTTGCAGAGGACAACACAGAGTGCTTTTTGCTCTTCACCTTCCAGCTTTGTCCTTGCTCTGTCTTTCTCTCTTCTCACCCCTTTTCCCATTGTCAAGGACTCTTTGGAGTGCAGTAGGGTTGGCTGCCTGCTTTGATGTAAATAAAATTAAACTGGTCCCCTTGCAGGCAATCAGTTTTGATTATTTTGATTTCTCCTTGTTTAAAGGGATTGGTGGGGGTGTTGTTACAATGCACCCAGAACTCTGATCACGTTGGAGGCTAATCAGAATATGGAGCTTTATGTACTCTGCTGTATCAAGATTAGCCACAGGGCAATTAGGAAGAACCTAACCAGGCTCAAGATTTATGCCTAACAGAGGCATAAATATCCAGGATTCATCCTTGCATGTTCAGCAGCTCAGCTGTTCTGTATAATCCATGGCATGTATTTTTTTTTGGTTTGGTTTGGTTTTAAATCAGTGACAGAAAATATGTCCAAACAAGACATAGTAAGCACAGTACCTGGCGTTTTTTTTGGTTTGGGGTTTTTTTTTTGGTTAGTTGGTTGTTTTTTTGGTTGTTTGTTTTTTTTTGGTTTTTTGTTTTTTTCTGAGGGAAGAAATCAGAACCAACAAGAGATATGAAGTAATAGAGGTACTGGGCTGAGTTTGTTATACCCATAAAGCATAAATTAGTTGGGCTTTAGCTTTAAATCTCCATTGGATTTGCTCACTCACTGCTGTCCATATAAAACCATCACATTGTTTAGCACAATTAGGCTTGATTGTTTAAGCAGTCTGGATTGAAATAGCATTAATTAGTTATGTCATGCTATTATTCATTGTCCATAAACTTGCTGTTACCATTCAGATCATGCTTGGATTTACTGGCAGAGCAGAACCTTGAAAAACATATCAGACAATATATTTTATGGAGCTGATTTATTTTTTGCTTATTCAGTTTTCTGAGGAAAGACAAATTGCAATGTTATGAAGAGCTTTTTAAGCCTAAAATGGAGCAGGGAATGAGAAAGAACATGGAGATAGGACCAAGTTTTACCAATTTATGTTAATATGTAGCTTTGCAACTAGAAAACCTTTTTATTTTTCCTTAATAGTCCACGTAAAAATTTCTAAATTGACTTCCTGGGTGCACAGAGTTGGTCTTTGAGTTCTGACAAAGATCCCAACCCAGCAATTTGCAGGCACAGGATTTGCTTTCCTTCTTGCAGACGTTTTACTTTGCCTTGCTTTTATACTCCCTTTTTCCTTTTTAGCACTTACAATAAGCACATATACTCAAGGAAGACAAAATATCCTAAATTAAGATTTGACTGGTTCATTTAAAGCAGTAAGAAGTCAAGCACAGAGGAACCAGAGCACTGTGTTTACTGTGGGTAAGGTCGTTTTAAAAAAACCAAAGCTGAACAAAAATGCCAACGTTTATGCTCATTTACACAAACAAGTGCCTGTTTGTGTGTGTAGTACAGTTTTTTATTATTATTATTTAAATGAAAGGTAATTTTCTAGTCGTAAAAAGCAGGCATTACCAGATCCCTGAACTCATCTAATGGCAGTATCTCTGCTCTCTCCAAATGCTGCTTTGTGCTTGGATGGTGCACCAGCCCCTTTGGTGTCAGCAATTACTGTCATCAGCCATAAATCTGCCTCGTGAAGCGACAGTCAAAGCTCAGGATTCCTAATGCTGGCTCTCTTAGCATAATGGTTGCTTAACATAACACTTGGAGCATTACCCATGTGGATCAGAAAGAGGTCTGGAGTGGGAAAAAAAAATTGCTCTGCCTTCCGAGGAGTCTCCAAAATTATCTGCATTTCAACTGCAGTTGTTTCATTCAGCGCTGAAACTTCCAGTGAGCTCACGGCAGAACTTGATGTAAAGACACCAAGAAGACAGGAAAAAGAGAAATGGCTGTAGTTTAAGGTTGTCTTCTCCTCTCACACCAGTGTTTTTATGCATTAAAGAAAAAAACAAATAACAATGGAGAGGCCTAAGGGTGAACAGTAATTCTTCCTCTTCTGTGTTTGTTGGGAAAGCTTTTTTCACTGAAGACATGTTGATTCATTTAAAGAACACAGTAATTTAAGCTAAAATTCTCTAGTCCTTCAGTGTGAGGGGCAGGAAGAAAAGCACCCTGATCAAAAAGGAGGCATAATTGAGAAACTTCATCAGTCCTTATATGCAGTGAAGGCCAAAGAAGTGTTTACTGCTCCGTTTTCTTGTTAGGGCTCCAGGACGTGTAGAGTTTGATATAACTGTCCTTATTGAGTCCTTTGGAAATATCCAGCTGATTGGGCATCATAATCCTCAAATTCCAGGCCCAGTTTGGTTTTTTTTGACTTGCTGATAAGCCTGGCAACCTTCACTGCCCTTCCCTAATCACAAAAGAGAAATATTTGCCTCTCGAGTAGCTGGTGGAATTAATGCCTGATGATTTTACGATTAATGTAATCTTTATGCAGCAATTTCCACTGTTGTCCAATATCCAGGATGAATCTCTTCATAGCAGCTATGAAATATTTTAAGAAGTTGTAACTTAGTCAAGAGCATGAGATATACATCTAATCAGAAATTTCTGAATGTAAATCACGTTCATGCAGTGCAGACACATTCCATTGGTAAAAGAAGTCAATAGCACTAAGTAGGAAAAGTTCATTCTGTTGAACATATAGGACTTTTAATGTGCTCAGATTTTGCTCTGTGCTCTTAGACTGCCTTTTTAATTTAGATTTCTCTTCCTGAATGCAAACCGTATCACAACTATATGTAATTTTGATTCAGAAAAATTCCAATTGTGAATGGCTATGTGGATATCCTTTTTTTAATATCCTTTCAATACTATTGACATCCAAGTAAGTCTCAGCAAATGTGATTTAGTCAATAATTTCTATTGGCATTAATAGTATGACTTAGAAGGGAGTGAATCACCTATCAGACATAACTATTTTATTTCTGTATCAAAGACTTATTTTCATTCAGGAATCCCAGAAAATATTGCAAAACCCCTAGAATTTACACTCATCTCTAAGGGAAACTGTCTTTCAAAATCCTTCAAAGCCTGTAATTAGTACCTGAATTGGACGAAGCAAACATCTCCAAAGATCTTTCAAAAAATCTGGATCAGGACAAGACTCAAAAATTTTAAGCTTGTGTTAAAGATGAGAGCAAGAATGTGTTAATTCTCCCCTTCATCAGTTCTCCCTGTAAGTTTAGTATGGATTATCTTCTGCAGGCTGGCACATAAATCCACAGCTTCATCTCACTGGGAGTTAATTTTCTGTATCTCGAGGATAATTTTATATTAGAATTCTGAACTCGGTGCTCAGAGTTTTTGCTCCTGTTTGTGTTTCTATAGCCTAAATCAACTCCAAAAAAACCCCACAAATTCTTGCTTTGGTGAGTCATCTTTTATCACCAGGACCTTTGATGGTGGGATAAAGGATGGGATGAGACATAAAGTAGATGATCTTCCACTTTTTCTCCGGTTTAAAGTCAGTTTGATGGGGAACTTCCTGCCTGAGGGTCTCAGCACTGGCTAAAAAGAAACTTTCTTTAAAGTCACACAAGAGTTAGAGCAGTATAAACAGCAAGGCTGCCAATTCACTGCTAGAGACTTCTGTCAGGAGTCTGAGCGAACCTGGTACTTGATTTTGACATGCATGTTTATTTTACACCACAAGGTTTGCTTTTTCCAATCATACTTCTCCTCAGGGTTTATTTAGCTTTGCCAGTACTAACAAAACTCTTTGTGTGGTACCTGCTGGATTATTATTGAAGACATCTACCAAGTCATTCTACACCCTCATCTTAAAGTATTTTTAATTCTGCTACATAAACAGTTCACTTACTCCTTAAGTAACTGCCTTCCAAATCCCGAGTCACTTAAGCATTCTCTGATTATGTATTTACTGGATGTCACTGGTTAAATTTTGTTTTCTCAACAGTATCAGAGCAAAATGCTCTGACTATCAGAACACACTGGTGGCGTTTCATGTACTGCAGTCACTCTACCCTTGTCTGGGCCTTTCATCCTCCCTGCATTGCTTTTCCCTGTCAAAACTTTGGTTGAAGGCAGAGTCATCTGCTAAACATTTCAGCTTTTTGCTGCTTTTGGGGTGGGCATGGAGTGGTGATTGCCCACTAACTTTTTATTATACTTTAGGGCTCCTGAGGTGGATAAACAGAATGCTTTTTTTCAGTTTGATAAAGTAGAAGGACTCAGTAGAAGGACAAGCAAGAGCCTCTTCATATACTCTTTCTGCTTTAGGGTGCTCTAAATTTAACAGATCTGCAAATTAATCTCACTTGGAGCTTAATATTCTTAACAGTTTGTGCTTCCTCTGCTTTATTTTCTGCTGGCTATCACTGATCAGTGCTGAAAATTCCTACAAACCCCTGTGTAATTTAGTGTTTTTTCTGCCACGACAATGATTATGCATTGTGTTTTCCAGGGACAAATTTCTCATGGGATTGGTGAATCGACGTTTTCTGCCAAATTTCATGAGTCTTTGGCAAAGTGACAGCATTAACTGCAAAAACTTGCTGGTAGTTCAAGCATACTAATGCAAACAGGGGCACTTTTTGTTTCCAGCCATGTATTTTAGCCATTTAGTGGTGGGATATTGGTTCCTGGAGGGCATATGAAAGCTCTCATTCTGAATGGCAAATATATTGTTCTTTCCTCAGGAAGAATATTGTTCCCATTCCAGATGAAAACATTAATCTGAAACAGGTCATCTGAAGCTGAGAGGACTTGTTTTGATTTTTTGATGTGGGAGGAATTAGAGGAGGTAAGTTTTCCCTCAAGGTGGTCATCTACCAGGACAATGAAATGGGTCAAGAGACACATAATTTTTCATCACCAGTCTTAGATAGAGCATTTCCAAATCTTTGTACTGGCATTCCCAGTTCATCCTAGAGGATAAATACAGGCCTATATACCACTTGAGGCTTAAGTGATTTATGACCTGTAATGATGTGAAATTTTAGGTGAAATTCAAATGAGTGAGTAAAAATGGAGTCTACCTTTGAGCTGATAATCTGCTATGAATGTGTGTTGCTTTTTTTTCCTTTCTATTGGATAAAATATTTAAATTCAGCTTTGAAAATGTTAGAAGACCGTGTGTTGTGAGGAGCTATGATGGGAATATTTAATTGAGAGTCTGCACAAATACTGTTCTAGGTGACTTCTCATCTGCTAGGATCTGAGTTTTGCTGGGACAGATTCTGATGTGCAGCTGCAAAGTGGTTCTCCTTTCCTCTGCAGGTGTAGGGAGAAGGAATTACAGCCAGGATGAGCCTGGTTTACCTGCTTTGGCATCTTTAACCTCCAGGCCCTGCTGCTTGCGCTCTGCTCTCCAGCTGAGGAGACTTTCTTGCAGTGAGGTGAGAAAGCAACATTTAGATCCAAGCAACCTGGCCAGAATATTTTAATATTTAGCACTGAACAGCTATTTCCAGTTCAGGGCAGGGGGGCTTCTAATTTAAAGTAGCCCTGCTGGTTTGGATGGGACAGGGAAAACCTGGAAGTCCTGCGTTAATCCAGTTAGTCAGTCCAGATACCAAGGCTCCAGCCAGGACTCAGGATAATTAAACCATGTATTTATGTGGTGGGTTTTTTTGTTTTATTTTGTGGGTTTTTTTCTTTTTTCTTGCTAATACCTGAGCTGGGTGTCCTCAATCTATCCTGTAAGGGTACATTTGCTGCAGTCACACTTCTGACTGTGGTGTAGACAGAGCCTACGACTCTCATTTCTCAAGGGAAATAGGCAAGTTTTCCTGGCATAAATAGGAAAAAAAACAAAACTCCAATGACTGCATCTACTTTTCTTCATTATCTTCATCATTTTGCTGCTGCTCTTAGGCAACATGTCAGCATTTAGCCATAAATATCTCTGCCATGTAAAAGATGTATACTGACATAAACATCACTCTATATTGCAAGTACAAATAAGATTTCCAAGTGTTTGTGTTTGGTTTTTTTTTGTTTTGTTTGTGTGTCCTTTTTTTTTCCCCCACAACTGCAGGATTATTTCAGCGGGTGGGATTATTTACTGATCTTGATCCTTATTTTCTGCTAATTTTACTAATTGCCCCTTGCTTTAGAAGTGAATCAAACAGCACAGATTTGTTTTGGATAGAAACTGTGAGGGTTTCCTGCAAGAAAAGCTACTATTTGTAAGCTCACGTTCTCAAAAAGAAAGAAACACGGAGTTGTTATTATGGCAATTTTATTTGATGGAAATAGATGTGAATCTTTTTGAATTTTACTGGGGAAAAAAAAAAAAGGAAGACAAGACTTGACTTATTTATATAAAATCCCTGATTGTGGATAAATTTTCAAAAACTAATGAAAATTTCATCCTTTTTAAATTAAGCTGCAATTTGGCACTTGAAACAAAGAAATGGCTTGGAGTAAACTGATTAAAAACGTAGAAAGGGCTATTATGAATTTTCCCTGGATTTAAACTTGCTGATGTGATTGAGTCAAATCATTATGTGCCACATTCACAATCTGTACCAGCTGACTTTAGGGGCACTTCATTAGTGAAATGCCAGGGAGAATTTCCCCCTGGCTGGAAAGGTAACAAATGCAGAAGATTTCAGAAGCTTTGAATCCTCATTGATCTAAAACGTGGAGAATCAAAAATAACAACGAAGTTTTCACTTACAATGCAACTGATCATGTAAGTGATCCACACAGGTTAGAATCCCTATATCTTTTTTTGATACCTTAAAAACTGCTAAACATAGAAAATGGATGTATAATGTAATTCTTGCAGTGTTTTTCACGGGAAACTCTAGCCTGGCTGTGTTATCTAGTTGGAACCTAACCACTAGTTATTGCATGTCTCCTGAAATTCATCCTAAAAACAACAGTCAATTTATCCAAAATAAATTCTAGCTCTTCAGCACATCAATCCTTCAGATGAGTTTTGCATGAGCTTGAACAACTTCTGCTTTATAGAAGCCATGTGTCTTCCTTATGCAGTGCCAGCAGTTAAGTTGTTTTTCTACAAAGTGTGAATGGATTCAGACTTTTTGTCTTGTTGCTGCCTCTGGTAATGGCTTCTTTTTTGTTCGTGGCAGCAGTGACTTCTTAAACAGAAATTGTTAAACTGGATGTTTGTTTTTAACATTTCTAGATAAATGGTCTGATTTTGGCCTCACACCTTTTATACTCGAGGGACCTCAATGCTGCTGTTATTGTTTTGACTCCATCCAAAGTCATGGTTTGGCTTAGAGGGAAACTGAAGACCTACAGTTCAAATAATTAGCACCAGTTGAAAATCATTTGGGGATCCGTAATATTTCAGACCAAGGTTTTTAATCTTTATATTCAATTAATTAAATTCTATATAAGATCCTCGCTGATTATAGGAGTGGTATCAGTCCTGTTGTGTTACGGGTTCTCATCCAGCTTTGAAACCAAGTTTGAAATTGCTTCCTGTCTGCAACTGTTTGAGCAGTCAGACTGAGTTAGGATGGTTGAATAAACCCACAAATGTCAGTAAGTAATGACAGCTTCCCACAATTTCTGAAAAATCCCAATATTGCCAAAGAGGAAATTCATGTGCTATGGGCACAGAAATAACAGAAATGAGTGTACTCTCTGAAAAGCCTCTGAAGTTCCTTTGCAGCTCTGACACTACAGCTCCACGAATACGTAACCGGTTTTTTTCATTAACATAAATCTTTATGTATTATGGTGTCAATTGAGTGAAAGATGAGGTTTCCACACGAAAGTTTTTAAGCATTTTGTAGGGAGAGTGATTTAAAAGGGGATGACAGAGACAGGAACCTCAGCCTACAGTCTATGCTCTGTTTTTCTAAGGCAGTAGAATAACATAAATACAGTGACAGGGAGAGCCAAAATTGGGTTTTTGTTCCATAAAGGACTGTTGAGAGGTTTCCTGCTTTTTCTGTCATAAAGTAGGCTAAAAGGTTGAAATTTTTAAATTGGAGTTGTGTTTGTAGGATATTCTGTTGGTTTCCAATTTGTAACATTATCAATTATATATATATGTATATGTATACAGTGATAAAACCAGATTTTTAGGGAATGATTCAGCTGTCAAATCACATTGGTCTGACATTAGAAACATTTACATCTTGACTTCAAGTGGTTTTCCAGAAGGGTGGAGGCTCTCAACCACATATGCTGTCCCAACATACATCTGACATACCTTAAGAGAGTCTAAAATAACATTATATGCATATACTCAGGCAGCTGAATATCATTATAATCATATGCATAACATTCTTATTTCTATGGCTTGGCTTTTTATGTCCCGTGGAAAGAATAAATTTTTAAGGTATGAAATTACTTCTATGAAGAACTTAATGAAGTAGAGCATTTAATTATTTAACTCGGTTGCTTTAACTTAGAACAGTTTGCCACAGAAAATTTCTTAATCCTGACTAGCTCTTTGTGCCTTAGATACCTTAAATGACAGTAACAGTAGATAGCAACTAGCAGATGGTTTAAATTGATGGGTTAATACAAGCAGTAGTTCAAGAAATTAATTTCAGCCACAACAAATTGGGTGAAACTTGTGCTTAACTGTTTTCAGATATAATTTTTAATGCTGTACAAACGATGCTATGCAATGAGCATGTAAGACACACAGTTGCTTAGTTTCCAGTAGGCAGAAAAATGAGGATGCTTATGAAGAAAACTAACACTGGAATGAAAATTAGGAAAAAAAAATCAAAATGTGATGTATTGAAAAGATCTGACAGAGCTCTGGTGCTACAAAGAAACAAGTGTTAATTAATGAACATGTATCTGAACATTTGGGTGATTTCTATCAACGTGCTGTTGAGCTGACAGAGAGAGAGTTACAAAAGCTGTCCACAGACAGGCATTTTTATGCCCTTTTATTGTCTTAGCCTTGCTGATGATTCCTGGGAGTTGAGTGCAATCCCATCCTGTGGTAACTTGTGTATGACATGGGGGCAACCCAGGACAGTAGCAGTAATTTACCTCAGAGATGTTGTGTAATGTTCAGCATCCTCAGCAGGTTACATGTGTAGGTTTATGAGATCAGAGACGTTTGTCCTGCAAACTTAATTTTTGGAGCAATTTACAATCCTTACACGAGGTTACCCTCCACCTTTTATACTTGGATGACTGTAAAAGGTAGAGGGCTTGTTCCTGCCTCCTGCTGGAGCAAGAACAGAAAGGCAAAAGAGAAAAAAGCAAGAGGTTATTCAGAGATGAATTCCCATGAGGAAACCCAAGGTTTAACCCCAGGAAGGAGAAAATCAAGAACTGATTCTCCCCTGTCACCCTGACAGAAGAAGGTGCACCAGAACCCACTGATCCATCATTTACCAGCCATGAAACAAGATATTTTTCTTAAAATTGTGGGCAATACTTTCCCTAATTTTCATAGTTAAAGCATTAAAATTATAATGTAGTAAATGCAGAGCAAGTAAATGTATACAATCAGTATATAAAATTGCTGTATTTTATCTTTCCTCTGGCCAACACAACAGGGAGAACACACGGTGAGAAGATCTCTGTTGAGCATTACTGACAGAAGCTGCAGCAGAGAAAGCCAATCAGCTTGCCATGCAAATAGCAGCTCCCAGGAATCAGCCCAGTCTCCTGTTTGCCAGTGCAGGAGAAACACAGTGTGATAGACCCAGGAAATCAATGCAACTGCCACACCTTAAATACTCTGAGATTCTAAAGGTCAGGGCAGTCTGGGTTTCCTGCTCTCACTTCTACTACAGCCCTCCCTTTTTGTCTTCAAGAAGGAGAAAATTGCTTATGACTTCAGTTTCGTAACGCTGCAACTCATGGCAGCCCAGTAAATAACTTTTTTGCAGAAATAAGTGATGTAATTTTTCTCTTATCTCAAGCATGCTTACACTCAAGGAATTGCTGTGAAAGTAGCCAAAGGATTATCTTTTTGTTGAGTATTTGTACAGTTCCTGCTACTGCATTTGTGCCTCCCATGCACAGGGGACACCCAGATATCCAGATATTCAGTGCTTGATACTACAACTGTATTAATAACAGAGAAGCAAAACTGAGCTGGCAGTTGGATTTAAGCAGTGATTGTCAATAGAGGTCCAACTCTACTTGATATCTGAGAGAAACAGTGTGTTTGAGCCAGGTCAGGATCAGGCAGCTGGTCAAAAGCGGAGTGGAAGAAGTATCTTAATGTTTATATAAGAGTGGACAAGCATTAAAAGGGAAATCTTAGTAGGGAGAAAGGTGTCTAGAAAGGAAAATCATGCTGTGCTAGAACAGAGAGCGTAAGAAATGTGATGTTAGCTTCCAGTTCACGTGTGAGACTGATTTCACAATGCAAAGTCACGAAAGCATTGGCTGGAAGGAACCCGGGCAGGTCCAACCATATGCTCAGTGCAGGGCTGTCACCAATGGGTAGATGAGCTCAGCTGGGCTCATCTCAAAAACCACCTAAGAATGGAGATTCCAGCATCTTTCTGGGCAGAAAAATTAAGGAAGAAATTTTCCTCATAAATCAAACTGAAGCTAGAGATGGGGATACTTCTGATCATTTCTTTGTGCAGACCTGGAAGGACACGTATACAGCTAAAAGTGATGATTTGTTTATTCTATTTAATTTTCATAGGTGTGTGGATCCATGTTATGGTGCTGAAAAGATGTATTGTTTTTGACACAGCCAGGTCTCTTCACTGGGCTCTGGGTGATTTATGCACAGCAGTAAAAGGCACTGTCAGTAAGGCCCCAGTAGAATTTGGATGAGCAGGTGAAATTTTGGTAGAGAGCAATCCTTTATGCGGTTAGCTGCTATTTTTCAAGAGGGTCTATTGGCTGTGAGTTTCACAGATATATGGAAGAGAAATATGACCATTTCCTTAACAAATGTGACTTGACTTGTATCTCTCATCTGGACAGCAGACTGTTCTGAAGGGTTTGGGTACAGCAGGGAGTGCAGTGATCCATATTGCAGGCACTGCTGGATCACTTTCCTCTTTTTCAGTGGTGACAGTTATCTGGGGGTGAGAACATGTGCTGATAGAACAGCACAAAGATTTTAACTATTTATGTTGCCGGGAAACAGCAAAATGTGTTTTGGGGTTTTTTTTTCCCCGGTGCAAAATAAATGCAATGTATGAGTGCCTGTACAGAAATCTGGGGGTTTCTCAAGGACTTTAAAATGTGGTTGTGGTGCATAGAAGAAGAACCTACTACAATATCACCTAGCAAATATTTTTCAATCTTATGATTGGGGTGTGTTGTTGTTGTTTTTTGTTTGGTTTTTTTTGGCCTGAGTTCTTGTTTCTACTTGCAGTTTCCAAATCCTGCAAAATTTTGTTGCAGAACAAGAGAATTGATTTAAATGACTGTTAATGGTATTTCTATGTGGCTCACTACAGGTTTTAAGAGCTACATGGATGATAATCACTAATTTCACCTTGTTGTTGTGGGATGTGTGTAGTAAAAAGAGGACCCATGAGAGTAAAGCAGGATATGTTGTTGAATCAAATTAGAAAGTTGGGATTTCATGTGGTAACACTGGAACAGCACATGTGTGATGGAACCTGAGATAAAGTACAGAAGCTGCTGATTTGAACTATGATTGCTGTTATAGCACTGTTTTCAAACATTCAAGTCAAAAGTATATTTTGGATTTCCATTCCATTCTCAGTATTTCCAACTTATCCTTTGGTACTCCCAAAAAAGAAGAGACATTATGTAAATGTGAAGGGATTCCCACATCCTTGGCTGCTCCCTGACTGAGGTTTTCAAGTCTGAATTAAAAAAAAAAAAAGAAATAATCTATGTTACACAGTTAAAGCTGGTGACAATTGTACAGAATTGCTACTCTAAGCTTTTTTATTCCTTCTTGATTTTTGTTCTCGAGATTTTACAGAGTTCTTTCCGGTTGAATAGCTGAGCAGCAAAGCAGAAAGTCAGCCATTCATAGCGGGTAATTAAGGTTTTGAGATGCTGAGCATTTGTCCCTATTATAGGAAAAAAAATATTTGCTTTTGTTGTCAGTAAGTACCATGAATGCATCTCTTTCATTATTACAGGTAGAATTTTGAGAGACCAACATTTGACCAACATTTCTTTGCAAGGGAAAGGGCAGAAGAGGCTGAAAATCAGAAGTGATTTTTAATGTAAGTGCTATAACAAAAATCACGTTTGCATTGCACATCTTCACAGAAACCTGTGTGTGACAATTCAGGACAATCAGTGCCAAATAAAGTCCCGTGCCCCCACGCTGAGCTTGGAATCAGCATTCAACATAAAACCCTCAGGGAAGAAATAGGTGGGACTTGGGGGGAAGGGGGAAGATGAAAACTGCCTGGGATGAAAACTATGAAAAGTAGAAAAATAGATCCCCTAACGACAAAAAAATCACACCTGGTGGTGATGCCTAGGCTCTCATTAAGCAATGATTATTGCCTGCTGTGTATAAAAATAGCCCCCACAAATAGCACAGCTTAGCAGGGCTAATTTAATAGTTGAATGTGCTTACTCAGTGGAGCAGAGAGAATAATCTGGAGGGAGTGGGATAATTGAGTGATTTTAGTCCCTCATTTCTACTTCTAGAATAACCACAAACAGATCACAATTTCCTTGAGTGCACCTCTTCAAATATTTTTTATTAACAGCTTTTCCCAGATAATAATTTAGTGAGTTGATTGTTCATGAATATTCTGAATTCAAACCATGGTGTGTACTTGTGGTTAATCAGATAAATCACATTTTATCCTTTTTGTGGACTGACTGGGTAAATACACAACAGCTTTCAGGAAGCTGAACCCAGCCATATGTAAAAGAAAACAAATGTATAACCCCCCACATATTTCTAAACAAAATCATTACTATATGGATGTATTCTTCTGCTTAGAAGAAGAAATCTCCAGGCTCTTGTTCCTAACCTGAAATCTCAAAAGAGCCATTACTGCACTGAACATTTTTGTTGTATCTCTGACTTCTGCTAGAGCAATAGTGCAAACAATCAACAAATAAACTGTTCTTTAGGTACTCATGTAAGTGATACATGTTATATATATAGTGTTACACACTTTTATATGTATGGTGTATATATATAATTATGTATACAGTGATGGACTTGGCAGTGTTAGTCTGTTGTGTTGGACTTGATGATCTTGAAGGTCCTTTCCAACATAAATGATTCTGATTCCATATGTTGTCCTATGGTCATGTTTTTATCTGTAGCTGTTGGGAGAAAAGAAAGATTAAATAAGAAGTGAAAATAATCTTGAAACATAGCCAGATATAATGTTTTTCCAACTCTGTAAATTGCTGGTAATTCAATCCTTACAAAAAGCAGGAGTCAAGCTAACAATAATTTGGAAATAATATATTAAAAGGATGCTTGAAAGAGGAAACTACCAGAGTTTTATGACAGCAAACGTGGATCACTACTACAGTTATCTGTTTTGGCACATCAGTGTACTTTTCAAGCCCTCCAGTCTCTTTATTCAGCTATAGGAATTCAGGGTTTATTTCAAAGGGTCAGGAAGGGGAAACAGAAGCCAGGAATGTCCTAATACACTGGAAAGTGATGGTGCTGATTTTAGAGGTACTAAATGTGGAAGGTATTGTCTCTGTAGTGCATAACCCTGTTCCATTTAAACTCTGGGACTTGCTAGATGTGATTCTGCAGTGATTAGAATGAGACTTACATATGTAACTGTAACATTTAAATATTAGTTCATAAAACTGGAAATGTTAACTCTGAAATGAAACTAAACACCTTTTTCTGGGAGCATTTCTTTACTTATAGTGATTACTTATGCTTTTCTCCATTTGTCTCCCCTTTCTCCTTTTAAAAAGCAAAAAAACAAATAAAATATTGCAGAAGAGCCAGATGCATTTCCTGATTCAATTTGCTGCAGAGGGAACTGTCAGAGCAGCAGGAAAGAACAAGCATGAGAGGATTCTTCTGCTGGTTTAGAGTTCTTCGTGCAGTTCCTTCTTCCAAACGTATGAAACCACAGCTCTGGCACCTTTTGACATGAGGCAGCTTAAGAGAGAGTCCCATCAAATGAGCTGGTTTGTTTTTTTTTTTGTCAGGAGAAATAGGACAAAAATTGAATTTTTATACCTAGAGGTGCTAAGTAGTTTCACCGTTTAGTGATTCACTGACAAATACCTGCATTCCATGGTACCTAATCCCAGGTTGCTTTTATTTGCAGGTTTAGGCTTGGACATAATGTTTGTTTCACTGCAGACTGAAATTTAGATTTTAGGTTCCAATTATGACAAATGTCTTTAAAGCACATCTAAACAGTACCTCCACTGCTTGGATATTTAGTACTCAAAATTTCTCTTGCTTATTTGGACAATTGATACGGTTTTCAAAATAGTGATAACAAGGCCCAGACACAGCTGACTTTGCTGTGGCAGAAACGAAATGAAGGAAATCTTGAGACTGATCTGTATCAAAGGTACTGCTTCACTTCAATAATAATAATACCCTGAATTAAATGATGGCAGAGAGAATTACTGGGTGGTCTAAAATGTAACCATAAGTAGGAAAGGCTTTGTCTCAGTGAGCTCAGGGATATGAAGGCATCATCTTTCCTCTGTCCCCCAATCTGCAGTGTCCAGCTGGCACTTCTTCAGTGGGAACTTTAGGAGTGACCAGGAAAATGCTCTCTCCATTCCCATCCACCTTAACTGGAAATTATTAAAACCTCTTAACTCAGAGGATGCTACAAAGCTTCCTCTCTTGCTTCCCCCTAAGAGGAGAATGTTTTCTAAGGATGGATGTTAGATGATATTCTTTATTTCCTGGTTTTGGAGAGATTTTTAGTTAATTTACAGAACCAGGGCTAGGTAGGTGCCTTTTTAAGTGCTATAGAGGCACATATTTGATACAACTGGTCCTGGCTGGGTTTACTGCTACCTTTTCTCTCTGTTTTTTCCCTCTCACCCTCCTGCCTTCCTTCACTATACACTCCTCAAATCTCCTCTGCTTCACAGGTACCAAATAATTCAGCTTTCCTCAGTAAATTCCCAGCTTGTATTTGTCTCAGCTTTGTCTTGGCTCTTTTGACTCATATTTGCTCTTGAATCTGTTGTGTTTATTAAAGACTGGAAGGAACCTGCCTGCCTGATTTTCCCAGCTGCCTCAGTTGGTCTTGTAAAGACTTTCCTTCTGTCTTCAAATCTGAATTTATGCAGCACAACTTGTATCTTATTCATATATTTTGTTTTCCCCCCTCAGGAAGATTACACCAAGGTTAGAGGCACATCTTTAAAACTTAATTGCAAGTATCAAGAGGAAGGCAGAGTTGATCAAAGCTGAATCAGAGGTAAGATGTGATGTATGACAAAATTAAAGCCACAGATGGCATGCACTTCATTCAGGAAAATTTAAACACTGTAGGATGATGTATACACAAATACCTGTTTTCTAGAAGCACAGTGGTGATTTATGAGCTCAGTGATTTCTAAAATGAGAAATGAGAGGGTTTCCTGGAAAGCTGTCTTGGCTTCTGTAAATGAGTGACAAATGGACTAAACCAGAGAGCTCTGCTGTCACCACAGGTATGGGCTTACCTCAACTTTTCCTCTAGTGGACATTTAAAAAAAAACCCCAAGCCCTTCAATATTCTCTTAGAGTGCTTTATGCTGCACTAGTTATATCGCTGCTGTTTAATTTTCCTGAACTGAGAGCTCTTTGGTGAAGTTCTAAACCAGTGCTTCATTATGTTTTCTAATTATCTGTGCAGATAACTGCTGTTAATTTGCCTAAAAATGAATTTCGGTATGTGTGCAGGAATAATGTTAATAGAAAGAAAATTAACTGGGTTTTTAAAAAGTGTTGTAAATTTTTAGCTTGTCTGAAGTGAGACTTCTCTTAAAATCAGGAAGAAAAAGTCTGAAAACAGAGGTTTGACTTGTTTTACTTGATCTGAAATCATCAGTTCATCCTGCTTCATAGCCTTTTTATAACTCACCCTTGAGTGAGAGACCTTCCATTCCTGACAGAAACTAATTGTATGTGTGGTGTTCAAATCACAGTGTTAAAATTAAATTAGTACTGCACAGGAGGGGATAATACAAGGGAAAACATGGTGTCTTAATGGGCTATAAACCCGAGTGAAGTACTGTTTTCAAACCAGTGAAATAGCCATAAAATCATCCTTAGTATCTATGATCCAAGTATACCCCCAGAAGTTGTAATTTATACCTTAAATGCAAAAAACTGTGGAGACTGAAAAACTACACTGATGCTGGCAGGGTCAGGCAATGTTTTTAGGCTACTCAGGAACTGTAAAACTTCCTAGAAAAATTAGGCAGGGGGGACATGTGCCTTGTGCTGTGACATTTGTAATGATAATAACCGGCCTGCAGTCAATTGTCTGGTGCAGAAGGATGATGTAAGGCCGTGGGCAATGTGCCTTTTTCAGTAACATGACAATAAGCCTTAGAGAGCCCATGACAGTGTGGATTGCAGTGGAGTTAAATTAAGGTTTATTTTTTACCCCAATGCTGAGGGCTGACGTGAAAAGTTTTTAATATGTTCTTTGAAGGGAAGTCAGGTTTCATTATATTAGCACGGGCCTTTGGGTTGTGCCTCTCTTTTCTTAAGAGCACGTGTTTTAAATTAATGCAGTTTCCATCTTCCCCCGTTTTTGCAGCGGGCTTCACTTTTTCAGTGTGTGCACACAGCCATGAGATCTCAGCTTGTTGGCTCTGAAGATAATGTAAGTTTTGCCAGTGGCTTTGACAAAGAAAAGCACTTTGCCCAGTAATTGCTTGTAATATGCAGATATAACTATCTATAACAATACCTGCTGCATTTCAAAGAGAGAAGGAACAAGAGATACAAAGCCGTAACACCGAAGAACGCTGGGGCTTCAGTTCTCATTTGCACTACACCCCCTTTTCATCCTGGTTAGCTCTGGCAATGTAAATCACTCTTGAAACAGTGTAATTATGAACTTGGGTCACTTCAAGGTTATTTTACTGTGGCACAGTGCAAAGAAGCCTTTGCATACCTGGAGGGACTGGTATTTAGGTACTGTCTTCAAACATTCTTCTTCTCTAAACAGAAATAGGATATTGAAGACCATGCTAGAGAAAAAGTGCTGGCCCTGCAGCACAGAATGTGACAGTGAATCTATTCTGTGCCCTTCTGGTTAGGAAAGTCACTGCTTTCCAAGCTGCCAACCTCATCCAGAAGGGTCTGCTGCTATTTGAGTGCTTCCCGCTCTTTGCAGAGGTGTGACTCGAACAGCAACTCAGAGAATAACTAAAAAATGCTGATTTGAAAGGGGAAAAAAAAAAGTCTGAGCTGCAGAGCCTTGCAGTTCAGTGGTCTTCTGTAAACTGAAAATATTGTTTGGCAAATGCTATAAATGAGTGTGAATGTCTTCACTGATTTACATGTGGGGGCAAGAACTCAGACTGACATGCCCTTTGCTCTTTCCTTCCTTTGTTTGGGAAATATTACTTGGCAGACTGAACGAGGATGAAGCTTGTCCTGCTTCTGGAAACAGATAAAATGTGCATTGTGAAAGGAGCTTTCTAGAAATGCTGAAATATCAGCTATGATACCCTGCCCTCTGGAATATCCAGAGACATTTAGAGAGACTGCTGCCCAAGGATTATACCTTCTGCCACTCCTGGGACACACATTTAGTGGGGATTCCCCTTTAAAGCCATTTTTCTGAGCCTACTTGTTAAGTGGAAAAAGTCTCAGCTTTTGTTTAACCAAACTTCTGTCTTCAGAGAAAGACCTGTAATTGTAAAATGAAGTTGAGGGCAAGAAGAACAAAATCCCTGTCTCGGACTTGTGTTTGGTTTCAGTTGTTTCAGTTTAGGTCAGTCTCAATTATTTGTGTGTGGGTTCCCTTTTGTACTCAGCTAACACCTATTTGTTTTCTGAGAGTAAGAAACCATACAAAATAAATCAAAAAGCTTATGGCATTAATTAAGATCTCCACTTTCACTTGCAGCCATTCTTTAAAAAAATAAATAAAGCAAATCAGGGTCCTCTTCTACTGCTCTGTGACAAAATTTTGATGTTGCAAATGCAGTTGAGAAAGAGCTTTGAGTAAGCAAAGAAAGCCCTGAACCTGCAAACTTATTATGAATGAGTAATCACTTGATCCTCTTGGGTTCTCTGAGGGTCCTTCACACTGAGTAAAAAGGGCTGGACCAGTCTTGAAAAATGTAGTATCTCTTCCATACACATTCCCATTTATTCGGCTCTTGTAGCTGAGTTCAGGGATTTTGATGAACACTGTAAAATATATATTATTTGAATACAATATCGAACAGGAAAAATTCTGCTGAGGCACAGACTCTGATGGTTCACACCTCTGGACTCTCATTTCTAATTTATTTCTTGTCAACAGCACAAAATGCATTTGGCATCTTCCTTTGAGTGTTCACGCATCTGAGACTGCTGCTGTGGCTGCAGTTCCGTTCCAGCGAAGTTAAAGGAACTTCATTTGCTTGTGTTTTTGGCAACAGAACAAGAGAGTTGATAAGAAAAGGTCTTTGCCAGTTGTTTAACAGCTTAGCAGTGATACAAGATAGTGCCTGTGAGGTACATCTGTGAATCAAAGTGAGTGAATGGAGTATATTTGTCTGCATTAAAGAAAAAACAAACAACTGGGGGTTTGTTTGGGATTTTTCTGTGTCTGTTTGTTTGGTTTTTTTTTAAATTTCATAGGATTCTACAGCATCTTCTGGACAAAAATTCGATTTAATTTCTGTGTTGTAACTGTCACTTTAGAGTTGAAGTGCTACTTGTTAGCAGTGGCAAATAACTATACAAAAAGAAACTCAACAAACGTTAATATATTTATATATATATATAATACTTTCTCTGTATTTAGTTGTTATTTCTCTAAAAGCCAGAATTGCTTTATAATTTACAGACTCAAAAGCAACCAAATAATTAGTAGCCAGATCATTAACATCAAATGTCACCTTTTGAAAGGCCAAAAACACCAGTGCATTATTTGTTTCAAACTGAGGGATTTCTTATCTTTCACAATGCTGAAACTGTTGTTAACTTTCAGCAAGATCTGAACGTGTATTTTTGCTCTTGGTTTCTGTTTCAGAGTATCTGGAGTGAACTGTGATCAATGTTCCTGTTGAAAGGAAAGTTGGCTGCGAGTTGGGATGTGACTGAACCGCTGCATTTTCAGGCAGAGGTGCTTTTTTTCCCATGAAAAGTAGTGGAAATGTGTAATATTTAATTACATGTAAGAAATGTTTTTAGTTTTTCATCAGATAAGGACTATAAAATCGTTTAGAGGGCTGAAAAATAAGATTGGCACTATTCCTTAAAAAACCAAAATCTCCAACTAAAATAATGGGTCTGATGTAAATTGACAAATCACTTCAGCTGATCTGAGCATGAATATTGGTGTGGGCAAACAGCTTAGGCTGCATAAAAATGAAAATGTGCACATTTTCAATTTCAAATGAGATCTAGAGAGTGTAGATACCCTCCAGACTGAAGTGCACGGGATGAAATTTGAAACATATTTATGGAAAAATGCAAATATTCTGCGCATGAATTATAATGTGGCTGTGTAACCCTGTTGTTTATAGCTGAGGAGTCAGATACACGATATACCCAAAGTGAAAACACTTGTGAGTTAATGGCAATTTTTTTTTTCTTCATTCTGCAGAAATATTACACAGCAAAGGCAGATCCTTGGGTTTCCAATCCGTGTCTGGAGCCGCTGGTTCGAGTCAGGTCCCACTGATCCGTTTTGCCACGAGCAAAGGCCACGACAAATGTCACATCCAATAGCAGAGTCTAAAGATTTCCACTACATGGCATCACCCCAAGGGTAACAAATTGCAGCCCAAAAAGGTATTTCCATTTCTGTGTTGGTTATTGAGGGAAATTTTAGGATTAAAACAACTGTACTTGGTGAAACCACTCAAAACTGGAATGGATGCAACGGAGAGTTCAAGCCCTGTTGTTTCATACAGTTAATTTTCAATTAGTTGAAACCTAGTGGGATAGCACTTCCTGGGAGACCCACAAAGAGCAATGCACAAACTAAAAGAGGTTTTCTTTCTTTAGTTTAAAAACAGTGCTCTGGGCTAAAAAGAACAGCTCAATGCTTTTAAAACTGTATTTTGACTTCTCTTTGTTATGATTTGAGGGTAATCTAACATCTAGATTGGCTTCACACTTTTCTACAGGCAATCTGTGACAAGAAAGGAAACCTGAGGAGATTGGAGCGTTATCTAAGTGATGTGAGGAAAAGCAGC